TTATAATATCTTCTGTTTTTAAAATAGGAGTAAAGTTTACAGCTTGGTATATGCTTGAAAGACTCCTCCTCAAAGCTTAACTACCTGTAAAGCTTATCATTAACATCTAAGTGAAATGGGGAGAAATTGTGCCATTCTATAAGAAATTGTTTGATCTGGATTATTATTTGGCAGTAGCTGGGACAGGTGTTTTTTTGCCTTGGGTCTTGGTGATCTGAATCCATAAGAAAATGACGGACATGTTAAGAAAGATCCGGGGATGGGCGGTACTTTAATTTGATGATAGGATTCGTTTTTGGATAGGATAGGTCCACCCAATAGGGGAGGATACACTGAACACAGTGCATTTTAAAGACAACAGAGGAGCGATTACGGTGAATGTAGCAGAGACTAAACTATTTAAAAAATAACAGACCAATAAAATTGTCCCATCAAGCACATTCCATACAGAATTTGTACAAGATCATCTTATCATTCTCTACCCTCTTCCCCCCATTTCTATCTTGCATATCTTAACCCACGTTGTAACCAACCACAGGAATATCAGATTGCTCTCACCTCGAACCTTGAACCCTTTCTCAAGAGATATTTGTCCAGTTCCTTTTAAATGTATGAACTGACCACAAATTAACTACTTGTAATTCATTAAGAAACTTGTTACACATATTTTCCACCCTTTCTTGGGTGTGGGTGGGGTGAGGGGAAGGAGGAAATTATTAACATGCCAGACAGTGCTCTCAGTGACGAGCTATGAGGGTTTAACTGGTTAAGCTCCACCAGCACCCCAGCACACACTGGGGTCCCCAAGCCTTGGCTCTCACCAACCTAACTCTCTGGAATTAGATAAGCAGGATGCGTTCCTCTCGGGGAAGAGTGCACATTCCAGATGCAGGGAAATTTCCATGTGTTGGTTGCATACATACCTACGAAGTTCAAAACCACTTACAAATATTAGTGCAATATTTACACTCCAGCCTGAAGCTACTGGGTTACGTTACAAACTCTCTGAGCTGTCAAAATGTGAATTATATTATTCAATTCCACATACATATTAGCTTTCAAAAGGGAACTAGATAAATATCTCAAAAGGAGTAAACTACAGGGATATGGGGGAAGGACAGGAAAATGGGACTGAAAGCATTGTTCTTAAAAGAGCCTGAATGGCGGCCTTCTGTGCTGAAAAATGTCTGGTCTATATTGGTGAAAGCAATTTGGAAGGAACACTCTGGATTACAGAACAGTCATTTGCACCATCGAGCCATGTAATGAGAATATTCTGCTTTGTGAGCCTCTCTTCACATCTTTGCGTTCAAAGACCTCAATTATCCTCATTTCTATCTTTTTCAACTTTATTATCCACTTGAAGCTGAGGAGTCCAAAAGTCCAGTCAGTGGGTGAAATTTAATAATACCAATAATAATCCTTGCATTTGATGTAGCGCCTTATTAAGTCTTCAAGACGTCTCAGAACGCTTCACAGAATATACTGTAAAGTGAATTGACTGTATATTTTGTGGGTGAAATGTGACAGCCAATTGTGCACAGCAATGTATCACAAACAATCGTGGATTGAGTGACCAATTTATTTTGAAGGAGTTGTTAGCAATTTGCCAACAGCATCTCAGACTTGCAACAAGCCACTTTTGAAGCTACCACTGACTCACTCTGGACTTGGGTTATTTGAATGTTACTGATCACCTCTCTTGCCATAAAAAAGACTTCACCCTTTTGTTCCAATGACAGTTCTAGACTGATCTACAAGTAGTTGGAACAACTGCATTTAATTTATACTGCAATCAAATGTCCTAAAATGCAACCCTATTATTTGATTTTGTTTGATTGGTAAACCAACATTGATTAATCAATAACATCCAAATTCTTTACTTTCTCTTTTGGTCACAGGACATCCCTCATTGTGTACATTTCTTTATTATTTCTTGTTCCAGTATGCTTTTCCTTCCTTTTATCTACATTAAAATTTATGTGCCATTCCATGCTCTATGCTATTTACTCTCATGTTGTTTGCCTGCCCTCTTAGCTTGCTATTATTCATATATTTTTTGATGGAGACTTTTGCAGAACTCTCCATTACTTACTGCTTCCAAATATCTCCTTCTGATGCCTGCCTGTTGCTAAGATAGTTTTATGCAACTTAATTTACTATTTATCCCATGAGCTTTAACCTTCTTTAAAAATCTAATGTGTGGAACTACGGGATAGGTCTCAGTTACAAGTTTCAGTACTCTGAGACACTATACTGAATGAAAGGTGCTATGTAAATGCAAATTGTTGTTTTGTTTGTTGGTTGCTTAGTTACTCCCTTAAGATCCCTGTACATTTGTTAAGTCATGATGTTTCGCCCACAAAATATACAGTCAATTCTCCTTACAGTGTATTCTGTGAAGCACTTTAAGATGTCTCAAAGACGTATAAGGTGCTATATCAAATGCAAGGATTATTATTATCTATTCCTCAACAATCAATGCTGTCTGCTCCAAAATAGTCTGTGCTATTTGGATGGAAACTGAGAACATCCTGTAAAATACGCTCAGAATTTTCACTACGACCGATGTCCAGATAGATCTGGCGTCCTTGCCCTGCAGCATCTTGTCATCAAGAATTTCACCCAATTTGTAAGCAAGGAAAGACTTGCCTGTATCCAACAATTAGCATAATAAGCCCCAGCAGCTGAAAGCATTCTTGTTAAGGCCACAGTACCAGAAATAGCATTTCTTGTTTATTGACTTAATTATCATTGGCTGTGTCAGCCATTAATAATGATGCTGGTGGTTAATATGGACCCTTTGGAAGATAGAACTATGTAGTTTGATTCCATGTTTCATACGTCAGTGTACTTTTATGTTTTCCAATGTGATCCCTTCGTCTCATGAAGGCTCTAACTAATGCTGGACCCTCAGTCCCACAGGCGTCAGCAGCCCAACATTATCTACCCCAAATAGCCATTATTCCTCCAGCAACTCACCCAAATGGTCATTATTGTTGTGTGGAACGAGACAGCGAATGTAGCCAGGCAATTTGATTGGAGATCATCACAGCTGAGCCCAACTTTGTCCTCAATGATGTCTGCACACAATCACTTTTTAGCAGATGTCACTGGACGCAGATAAGGCTGAGAACCTGAGCTGAATTCTTTCCTTTCTCTAGCGCAGAGATGCGGAGTCCAATTGTGGTGCCCTTTCAGCTTCCCTGAGTTCGATAGCAGGGAGCAGGGCTTGATCTTGGGGCTTTCATGACACGGTACATTTACCTACTTGGGTATTGGGGACAGTCCCTGTTTGCATACATTTCCAATTCTAATGAGCCCATATTCATCTCCTTGATCACAGATATTCTTTATCAGAATAAGTGTTTTGATTTCTTGGGTGCTTTGCTCTTAACCCTGTTGAAACTTTCAATTTGTCACACGTTAGGTGAGACTGTGATGCAGGTTTCAGTTATATACAATGTTTTGTTGGGGTGCAGATTACCTTTTTTGCATCCTGATCTACAGCTAATTGAGGTTTTAAAATTGAATTCCATGAATAGATTTTTCTACTGTTGTGGGATACAGTTGTGTGTGAGATACACTATTTGTAGGAACAGCTATTGTGATGTAAGCCATCCGCAGTGGCAAATTTAGAGGGAGTCTGGTGTTTCCTTACTCCACAGATTCCCTCGCATTAAATAAATTGTGAATGTTCCACACAATTGAAAGTTGTGGGGGCTTTTAAGTTCAAATTCGAAAGTTGGTATAACTGCACAAAAAAATTAAAACAAATCTACTGTTGATTTTAACTTGATTTTTAAAATGTTATTTATGAGAATAATAAACATATCCATCATTGTACCTTGCATAAAACTTCCTAAAGAAACAAAGTGCTTTCACTTTTATAGTGCATTATCAGGTCAAAATGTCTCCAAGCACTTCACAGATCATTGCTGGCAAGTGTAATGATTGTTTTTGTAGGCAAACGCAGCAGTCATTCATGCCAGCAAGATCCCCAAACAGCCAAGAGGCTTCTAATTATAAACCAACCAGAATAAGGAAACAGCATCATGCTCTATAAAATCTCTGATGATTGAAGATAGTTTTCTGTATAATTTAGTCGAACAATGCCGTTCTGCTTAGGATTTCACTTTTCATGACCTAATTCATACTAATCGGTGCTTAACTGCATGGAGTTGCAGCAGGACAGACTTTCTGCAAAACGCAACCTAAAACCGTAGCTTTAATAAACGTTTATTGCTTGTTTGAGTTAGCCTTAAAGCAAGGAGTGCAATGACAATAAATGACTACCAATAACTGCACTTAATCATAACACTGGAGCTTTTTCAATCCTTGCAACTTATGCAATTCAGGTGTTTATTATTAAATGGTGAATAAGTTGACCAAAATGCAATTGTGAAATTTTAAGATTGGGAGCTTCTAAAATAAGAAGCAATAATACTAATACTAAAGTGCAAAGTAGTCTGTGTGCAACACCTGAGGGCTATTCTACATGCATATTTTACAAGTGTATTTCGCAATGTGGCCACATAAGCAAAATTTGGCCTGCCGGTATAATAAATGTATTAAAGGCATTCAACTTGAAAATTGGCAGGTCTAATTTGAAAAATAACATTATTATAATCAAAGTAGATGTGCAATGTTACCAAATGTTATTAAAATTGCAATGTGCAACAGATGTATAAAGATCACTCCAAAATCCTTCATTCTGGCAAAAACAGAGGATCTAAAGAGTGGTAACTTTTTAGGATAGGAATTGTTAAGCAGTAGAATGAGTACAATGAGTTATTGTACTGACCTAATTTTGTTTGCCAGCCAACTATTTAATCCTTTAATACACATGGTAAAAATGGAGATTAGTAAAATAAACAAATAACAAATATTTAGTCTTAGTACTAACAACACTGATTTTTAAAAAAAAACTTATTTAAAGCACATTTATTTCAGTCATGATTTAACTGCAGTGAGTTCCCTTTCTGCTTTTGCATCTACAGAGCAAACTTTACATGGAAGGATTCAGGAGTTTGAAAGAAGGAGAGCCCGTGGAATTCACTTTTAAGAAATCTTCCAAAGGCCTGGAGTCAATACGGGTGACAGGCCCAGGAGGTGCCCCTTGTTTAGGCAGTGAGAGGCGGCCTAAAGGGAAGACGGTGCAAAAACGGAAGCCAAAGGGAGATCGGTAAGTGGCACTATTTATAACTTTTACTTTGTAAAATGTTGGGCAACTTTTCTTACTCCAAAACCTCTGTTTACCTAGAATGTATGTAGAAACCCGATTGTTAGTCGACTGGCAGATCACTTTTCTGGGCGTAATAATTTCTTTAAAAAAATAATAAATTGGTCATTCAATCCATAACTGTTTCTGGAACACTGATGTGTGTGGCTGCTGCAGTTCGCCCACAAAATATACAGTCAATTCACTTTACAGTATATTCTGTGAAAGTGTTTTGAGATGTCTCAAAGACGTAATAAGGCGCTATATCAAATGCAAGGATTATTATTATTATTATCATTTGTGTACATGCTGATTCCCAGACTGAACAAAGAATACATTTAATCAATGTTCCCCATTTGTTTACCCTCCAAATTCTGATTGGATATTTCCATACTCTCTTAAGAAAAAGTAACTCCAGGGATACTTCAATGATTCATCTTTTTCCTGTAGTGTATTTTATTCCCATCCTGGTTATATAGACAGCCTCATTTTGAACATACTTTTGAAACATGATATAGTTTTACTTTTGACTCCTTCTCAGCTAAACTTAATGTATCACTCTAAATGACGTCTCGAGGTATGCCTCAGTCATTCACTTCCAGGTGATTTGATAAAATTTGTCTTTTTACATAAATATATAATATATACATCGTAAATCTTCAATTGCAACTTGTATCAAAACTGCTGATATTGTACCTTTTTCTCAGTTACCATTTGATTGGTTACCAATTCATCCGATGTGAAAGATGTATCTCCAACTGCAAGTTGTTAGTTCAGCAGTAGTATGTGATACAAGAACAAATGTGAAATTCTCACCATTTAGATTGATTTTTTTTCTGATTCTCAACATTGTTGACTTGGCATTTTGCAACAACAACAGTTTTCACTTGTATAGCTCCTTTCAGGTGTACTACATAGGGTGGGAGATTGAGCTGGAAGGGGTGGAGGAATGGAGGGAGGGTAGCAAAGGTCTAAGGCAGATATTGGTCTTTAGGTGAGTTTTGAAAGCAGAGAGAGGAGGGATGAAGTGGAACTTGTTTGAAGCGAGTTCCATAGAGGGAAGCAAAGTGCCCAAAAGCATTGGTTGGGTGGGACATGAAGCAGGCAAGACTTGTCAGAGTGGAAGGTGTGGCTGGGTGGAGGATTGTAAGAGGTTGCAGAGGTACAGTGGGGCAAGGACATGGAGGCATTTGAAGGTTGGGATGGGAACTTTAAAGTTGATTCATAGGGGATGAGAAACCAGGGGCATAAGGATCAGTGGAACAAGGAAGGGCATTGGGGTGATGAGGTTGTAGACCCTAGTGGGGGAAAGGATGTGGACTGCAGAGTTCCATATGATCTGCAGCTTTTGTTGAATGGAGCTGCGGAGGCCGATGTGCAGGAGGGTTTCAGCGCGTTGGGTTTGAAGTAGTGATCGAGGTGGGCGATGTTGCAGCATTGAAGTACACATATTCAGTGTTCAGTTTGATACAAGCATAGGAAATGAAGACCTGACTTGTCGATGCATGTGCACCTACTGGCTGTATTCAAGTACGCATGCACAAAAGATTATTGATTAAATCAGATTTTATATGATTTACGCAAGTTTACTTATAAGTCATATTAAATGTTATGGACCTGATTGATATAACTTATTTGAGTTTTACTATAGTTAGTGAAGAGCTATAACTAAACCAAAAATTAAGCTCTATTAGTTTAGTGTTTGCTGTCCTGCTATCTGGAAGTTGAAATCGAAAGCCCAAAATTGAATGCTGTAATGCTGGCTTTCCAATTGAACGACTTTGGAAGGTCTACCTTTGGCACACCAGGGCAGGTTTGATGTGATAAATATTGAATGTAATGTTAAATGGAATTAAATATCTATTCTTAATAGGTTGCCAGTCTGGGAGGCTGAACATGAATCTGTAAAGGAACCTAATTGTATAGAAAGAACATAAGAACATAAGAATTAGGAGCAGGAGTAGGCCATTCGGCCCCATGAGCCTGCCCCGCCGTTCGATAAGATCATGGCTGATCTTCAGACCTTACTCTAATTACCTGCCCTATCCCCATATCCCCTAATCCCTCCGTTTTTTAAAAATCTATCAGTCTCAGCCTTGAAGATGTTCAAGGACTGAGCATCTACAGCCTTCTGGGGTAGTGAATTCCATAAATTCACTATCCTCTGAGTGAAGAGATGTTTCCTCAACTCTGTTCTAAAAGGCTGACCCTTAATTTTAAGACTGTGACCCCTGGTTATAGATTCTCCTACCAGGGGAAACAGTCCCTCAGTGTCTACTTTATCCAGCCCTTTTAGTATCTTATATGTTTCAATAAGATCTCCACTAATTTTTCTGTACTCTAGAGAATATAGCCCTAGTTTATTCAGCCTATCCTCATAGGTCAGTCCCCTCATCCCAGGAACTAACCTAATGAATCTAAGCTGCACCCCCTCTAAGGCAAGTTTGTCCTTTTTTAAATAAGGAAGAAACCTGGCATAGTGGGAATTCTTGCCAATCAAAGGGGATAGAGGTTGAAAGACAACTAATGGAGTCCACTCAGAACCCAGCAGCATGGATACCTGTGCCAATAAACAAATATTTTAAGATCTAATATAATTGGGGAATGTGACAGATAATCAACTTAACAAAGTGCATAGCTTGGTCTCCCTGGACAGCTATCGGTATGCACCTTTGGGCAGGAGAGATACCCTGTTGATATTCTGAAAGTTCCCTTTCCAAATAGAAATAAGGAATTGGCCTTTGAATTTTGAATTGAAAATTCCCAGAGAGCAGGGTTAAGATAGTCACTAATCTTTAGAAGATAAGATTAGAAACCCTTAAAGAAAACAAAGGTAGCACAAACAAGCACATTTTTAGATTATTTTATTTAAGATGGGGCTGACTGGCCAAGGACAAAGCAGAAAGATCATGTGTAGTTGAGGCATTGATGATTGGGAATACTTATGGTGACACACATGCATTTGACTGGATATTTTTGCATTGGGGGGTTCTGGAAGGATGAGATCAAATGAACCGAAGGGTTGGTTTCCTCCAAACTAATCTTGTGATCTTGTGATAAAGACTTGTATAAGGATCCAGAAAAGCATTGTTATCAGTTTATCATGATCAGTTAGAAAATGAGCTTTTGACAGAGTGGCTAAGTGTCTCCCTGAACTCTCTGATCTGAGCCATCTATCTGTTGGCTGAAAGAGGGATAACCCCCTTTTGAACTGGAGGAAAGATTAGACAGATTTTCTACTTAGTGGTCTGAGAGTGTGAAGTTTCACATCAACTAAGTCTGAGCCAGGCAAGGACATTGCCCTGAAGTGAGAATATACAATAGAAAAGGCACCACTAATGAATTCCTTTTTATTTTGAGCTGTTAGGTAACATAAAACCAAGAACATTCAATAGCCTAGAAATTACACCTGCAAGTTGGTCAATGAGATTGAAAACAAGTGCTTAGAAGTGGCAGCTTTACCTCATATAACTGTCACATTAGTTTATTCACTTGTATAAATGAAAGTATCGTGAAACTTGATATGTACAGCGTAATCGAGGTCAAAATCTATATTCGTTCTTTTGCATTGTAAGAAAAGTGCAGCATTGCTATGAAGAACCAATTATGAATATTTACTTTGTTTTTGCTTCTTTTCTTCACCTCTTTGTTTCATAGCTGCGTAATTGCATTGTCGATTGGTGAAATTGACAACTGATTCGTGTGGCACCTGTAATTCAAAACAACATGATAATGAATTCCTTTCTACATTGAGCTATTAGGTAACATGAAACCAAAACCATTCAACAGTGTAGAAATTACACTTCTAAGTTGATCAATGAGTTCAATCATTATGTAAAGCTATATTTAAAAACTCCAAACTTCGTGCAATATTCAAACTTAACATGAGTCTTACACAGTACCGTTTTCTGTTTCTGATAATTTAATCTTTTTGGATCAATATTATAAATTCAGCCAAGATTTCAATATCAGGATGTGTTAAGGAAAACGTATTAGGTTTTAGCAGTGATGGAGGCAAATTAAGAAGCAACACTAATGGGTTACAGATTTGCTGCAGACCTTTCAGCTAAAGTTGTATTTAAAAATAATAGTGCAAAATGGTGCCAGTGAACAATTGAAGAGGTAGCAAAAATAAAGCATTTCTGAAACGTATTTATTTCTTTGTTCTATGACCACCATGTGTTCTATTTAACTGTAAATCTCTTCATTTAGTTGATGTATACAGTTGACACAAAATCTCATGATACAAATGATCCTTGTCCTAACTTTTAGATGCTCCCATGGTCTTGCTCCACCCTCTGCAACCCCCTCAAACCCTACCAATCTGGTCACTCCCTTCGCTTAGCGTCTGCTTCACATATACTCTATGTCACCACCAGGCTTTTGGTTTATCAGCTCCCACACTGGAACTCCATCCTGGTGTCCCTTTGACCTGCTCCTTCAAGATCTGCCTCCAAACCTTTTTGACCATGCTTTTGGCCATCACCCCGCCCCCCACCCTGCTGCCACCCAAACTTTAGGTGAAAACTCTAAGACTGCTAATTAGTTGAACTCTATTTAGTTGAAATCTGGACAATTAACCTTGAATCCTATCACTAACTGAAATGAATTGGGATGTTAAAAATCTGAAGACTAGGTTTCTATAAGTATCTGCCCCCTGACTCTCGAACTCCATCCTTGAATCCCTTTGACTTGCTCCGTCAAGGTCCGCCTCCAAACCTTCCGTTTTGATTGGACTTTTGGCCATCATTTTTCCTCTCCTGAACCCATTGCTTTGACTGTGAGGTGAAAGGATTCAGCTTTTCAGAAGTGTTGCAATTTTAAAAAAATTAATATTGTCAGAAGTTTAGTGTTTTTATAAAGCTTTACACATTGAATTAAATCACATTGGGATTTAGAAATCTGCAAGGCCGTAATAATGATGGAACAGGCTCAATGGCCTCCTTATTCCTGTTTCCCAAGGA